CGTCGGCCTGTGGACTGAAAGGTCCCAGGTTCGATTCCGGTCAAGGGCATGTACCTTGGTTGCGGGCACATCCCCAGTGGGGAGTGTGCAGGAGGCAGCTGGTCGATGTTTCTCTCTCATCGTTGTTTCTAACTCTCTATCTCTCTCCTTTCCTCTCTGTAAAAAAATAAATAAAAATAAAAAAAAATATGTATCTATAGATATACGGCATGTTTTATCATTTTTAAGTTGTTAGAAGAAGGGGGTCATTGTGGTCAGCAAAAATCTCCTACATTTCCAAAAACTAAAGAGAGAATGATGGATGTTCAAAAGTCTTATTTTGCACAGCTATTTTAGTAGGCACATTTGAAAAAACAGTAAGTAAAATACTTACTCATCTATTTGACAGACACACATCTCCACCTCTTTCAGGGCAGCCTGGAGTTTGCCCAGCAGTTTCACATAGATGTCTTGGGTTTCCAAGTCTTCTTCTTTTAACAAATACCGGAGCCCGTGCCCATCCTGCTGTGCCAGAGACAAGCCCGAAGGGGCCGCCATGGTTGTGATTGTGTGCTGAATGTACACCATGGGGCTCAGTTTCCCTGGGGAGGCAAAATCATTCCATCGTAATAGTTACTACCTTTAACTTACAGGAACAACCCAGGGCAATTCACCTTAAAGGCCCAAGCTGACATAAAATAAAATGCAAGCCCAATGCTGAATTTAATTCAGGAATTAAAGCTTATGGGGAATTGCCATGAAAGGGAAGGAATACAGTTTGATCCCGCATCCTGCGGTGATGGTGGGAATTACACTATGCTTCTTTATTTTCCTCAGAGTTATAGGGCATTTCAGATTGTTTTCACAGCAAAATGAGCTGTAGCTATCATGTGGAAGAAAGGCAAGGACCCCCATTCTTCTTAAAGGAAAAACAATAAAATAATAAAACTGCATACTCCATGTTCATTCTATAAATGCTTATACATAATTATCCAAGTGATTATAGCGAGGGGTCTTTCTTTACCAAAGTGCAGACTTGCTTACACACCAGGGGTCTGTCCAAGGCCAGGGATGTGGGGACAATTATGACGGCCTAAATTACTTTTATATGATTTGGCCACGTTTCAAAAGCTAACATACCTTGTTCAGATTTGTTTTCTTTATCCTGAGCATTATGCTTCCTACTATCCAACTGAACACCAAATGCGCTCCCCAGGGAGGTCGATGTTTTGGGATAAGAAACTTCCATCACGTTGACATGGCAGTTGGTCGGGCAGAAATCACTGCTGTGCAGTGGGGATATTTTAGATTTGGCTTGTTTAAAGGTGGGCCAGGCTCTGTTCTTTAGTACACGAGAAAACTATAAATTAAAGAAATAAACAGCAGTGGAACACACAGTGGTAACTCAAACATTTCACTTCCATCATCCACAGCAAAATCAAAGTAAAATTAAATGTCAACTGGAACAAGTGAAATAAATTATAAGCTGCTAGAATTTAAATTGTTATTTTAAAATCCACACATTTTTAATAAAGCAAAGCAATTTAGGCAGCAGATGCATGTAATTCCCTTGGAACTCTGTTCACAAGGTAGACGCTAAAAGAAATTAACTTAAAGGACCAATATCACTTCCTAGGATTCAAATTCAAAGACTCTTAACAAATGAGAGTCCGACAGAGAAATAAGTGTCCTATGGCATCAAGATAGGGTCTTCATCTTTAAAGTGAGACAAGGTGACAGAATGGGGTAGCTGGCAGGTCAGGGGTGGAGATAGGATTATTTCAAACACTGTCAGAAAGTCAATTCAAACCTGTGAGCAGGCTAGACAGCAAGGCGTGGTGCTGATGACCCAAAATGGCGGATGACAGGCAGGGCCAATTGTATTTCCCATGCCTTCTGTTAATCACTGCTGGGTACTTGGGTCAGGACCAGCCTGAGGACTGGTGTGGACCCTGCTTTAGCCTTCCAAGGATAGCCACTCCGGGGCTGAAAACCTTGCAACCACATGCATCTAATTCTTGCCATGCTCTACAGCTGCCCAAAGTCTAATCACACCCAGCTTATTTATTTCCAGCTCTCTCCCCCTGGCTCCCTGTGCTCCGTCTAGTCTTCACTCAGTTCCTCTCAGACACCATCTACCCACTCTTTGTACACACTAGTCCGAGTGCCTGGTTCCTACCTGTTATACTTTTGTGTAAATAGGAACTATCTCTTGAAAGCTCATGAAATCTGTATATGGAGGGAAGTATGACCAATGCCCAAAATAAGCTCAATTATGAAAGTATTGTAAAACAGAAGAATAAATCTAGAATTAAAAAGGATTCCTAGGACAATTTAGGGTGAGAATGCTCCTCCAATTGGTGCCCATTCTTACCCCTAGGTCACTACACATCTTCCAGAGATTGACTGCCTGTGGAGGACTCACCCAGGTCTCCAGTAAGGTCTGAACTTCTCTCACGCCTGGGCCCCAAAGCATCGATGGCCTGTACAACTGGCCAGGAAGTCTATTTTGACGGCAACAGCCTGGCTACAGAAACTACAGAAACCAACTGCTTTCTATTTTTATAATCTAAATCTTTTAGAGTCAAAATAAAGGCAAGGTAGCCTCTTGGAGATTTCAGTTTCTATGGATACATTTTATTTTACAGGAAGAAAGTGTTTGAAGCCTTCCTCTAGAAGAAAAAAATGTTGCTAATAATACTATAAAAGTAAATATGTGAAAATTCAACACATATATTCACCAATGCTATTGTTTCCGTTGACATGCATTTGATATGCAAATAGAGCTAACCTTACATGACCTATTAAGGATATTATTTTAGGTATCTAAACTTTGTTCAAATAGAAAAGAACCTTGAAATATTTTCTTGCTAATCTGGTGAGAAAGATAGCCCATTATTCTAAATATGTTATGGTCAAGAAGGGATGAGGAAAAAACAGCTTCATTTTTTTCAAGTCCTAGTTGTCTTACAAATTTCTTTTTATTTCTAAATTGACCATAAAAATAAGTGAGAGCTTTCCAAACGACTGATACCTAGTCTTCCACCTGCCAGCTACGTGGCATTGAGGAAATTATCAATCTCCCTGAGAAAGAAGCAGGATCCAGTACACATGATCATTTTGAAACTCAAATAATAATGTACATACAAGAGCTTTCCATAATTCAGTGTTATTATTTCTATCATCTAAAATCATTGCCCATTAGCCTCTCCATCTCTGTTTTAAAAGCTTCCCAGGCCCCTAGTTACTCCTGAGAAAATGTAAGAATAATGTGTGTTCATCTATTTCACTCACCGGAATAATATGTCTGTGAATCCCCAGCATTTGGGGGAAACCCTGTGCTTTATGTTTCTAATCCCCCACAGCATGCACTCCTTAGTTTATCACAAACCATATTTTTGTTAGAAGCCAGGCAATAGCACCTGCTTCCTCTGCCATAACCTATTCAGCATAAGGCTGTATATACTTTTCCTACACACACCTTGAGCAGATCCTTTCCTCCCCATTCCCAATGCTTCCACACAAGTCTAAGTCACTGGCACTTTTTACAAACAAACATGATTATTAGGCCACTCCAAATACCACTGGAAAAATCAGATTTTTTCACTTTACTTTTTTAATTGCATCCAACTCAAGTCCTCCTTCCTAGTCCAGGCAGTCTGCCAATTCTTCATCGATAAGATCATTGTCATGTCAACATCGCTGCCTTCACTTAGGATATATCTTTTTACTTGAGCGTCATTTCTCCCTCTTCACTCTGACAAATCTTTCCAAACAGCAGGTAGCATTTTTTGACGAGTTGATCCACAATAATTCTTCCTTTTCTGAAATGCTGTTGCCCTTGTTGTCTCAACTATACTGTTTAGCACATAAGCTGTGTAGCTCAGTGTCAATACAGGTAAACAAGCAATGGCCAGCTCCCTGTTTTGATTTTCTCATAACTCCTTTCAATATTTCATTTCCCTCCTTTGAATATATTTATTTACTTTCTTGCTGCATCCCCCACTCAAACATAAGTGCCACAAGAGGTGCTTTTGCTGCCATATTCCTGGGCCCAAGAAGAGTGTTTGACATATAAAATGTGCTCAATAAAGTATGTCAAATAAATGAAACAATTGATCAATTTAAAATAGCCGATGTTCCCTATAGTTTCTGACTAATAGCTCTGTTCCCTCTGTTGAGAGAAAAGGGAAAGAAGAACTACAGGGTAATTTTAAAATTTGACTTCAGAATTAGGTGGCTGAGATTCAAATCCCAACTCTATCTTTTGCTAGTAGGTTAAATATCATTCTTTAAGCCTCAGTTATTACAATTGGAAAATGAGGTTTGCAAAGATCAAATGAGGGGATAGATTTATAGGCATTTAAAACCACCAAAATGTTATGTAAAAGTTATCATTTCAATTAGCTGGAACATGAATAAGTAAAAAAATACCAGAAATTGAATTAATTTGACATTTAAACAATCTATACTAATAATAGAGGAATATGCAAATTATTCAGGACGCCATCACAGTAACAGTAATGACCAAACAAAACAGCAGGCTGCATGGGGCGACAAGGCTGGCAGGGGGGTTAGTGAGGGACGACCAAACGACTGAACAGCAGGCTGCGTGGGGCATCCGGGCCAGGAGGGCGGGCAGTAAGGGGCAACCAGGCCAGCAGGGGGGCGGGATGTCCCCAATCAGAGAGGGTGCAGGCTGGGCTTAGGGGACACCCTCGTGCATGAATTCCGTGCACCAGGCCTCTAGTAACTTAAACAATACTCACATGTGAAATGTATACATGGAACATTTACCTTTTTGTAATTGGATATTCTCTGAGAGATGTGCTCAACTTTTTCACTGCAGATGGCACTGAATTTACTCTGAAGTTCAGTAGGAATCACTTCATTTAAAGAGTTAAGGCTGGTGCAGTTTTGTACAAAATGATCATCACTTTTAGCTAAGGCTTCGAGAATCTGTAGTGACACACAGACACACGTGCAAAATGCAGAACAGAACACGAAAATAAAACCTTCAAAATTAGCCAAGTAAAATGTTCACAATTCCACAACACAGGTGACTTCCCAATGCTCTTGTTGTGGCTGCCTAGGATTTCTATGTTCACCCAAGCCCTGGCAGTACAGTGATGGGCCTGTGTGTCTGGTATCTCATTCTTTGCCTTCTGTTGACTATAAAAGGCTCCCTGAAGGAGGTGAGTGGACTTCTAAGACTCCTCGCTCAATAAATCAATAAACTGATGTGGAAACACAATGCCTATATGTTACTCAGAACATTTTTTTTTCAATTTTATACAACAACAAAAACTAATGAAATCCAAAAGAGTAGCCTCCTTACTTTCCCAGTACAGAGCGTGCATTTAACAAATGTTTGCTGAAGGACTGAATAAATAAGAGGCTCTAAGATTGCTAAAATAACAATCAATGCTAACTGCAGTGTCTGTGCTCTGATAGCAGCATCAGATAAAAGCGTCCTATTTATGTATTCGATTTGTAAACCCTTCTGGCTATTTGAATCAATGGTGAGGCAGTGTGCGTGTGTCTGTGTACACGTGTCTGTGAGTGTGTGTGTGTGTGTGTGTGTGTATGCACACACACATGTTCACATGTTCACACATATGTTCACATTTCCAGCATATTTAGCTCTATCCATAAATAACTTATTATGTTTTTCTTTACAACCCTGTAACTCATATTTATTTAGGAAAAGAATTAGATATTGAAATACAATGTTAATTTA